AAAGCAAGTTTTTATTTTCCAAAGCAAAGGACACGTGTAAGGCATGGTTTAGACTGTAATTCTCATAACCAGGCTGCACACTTCAGCTTCAAACTATTCCTCCAGCTCTGAAAATTCAGCTTCAGGCATAAACATCCATGATAGTAATTTTGGAGCTGTGCCTGAGACACATGTGACCTGGCATCTGTGCTCCTGAGAGCCATATGTGTCTGTTGAAAACCAACTGTGTTCAAAAGAAGACAGGCAAACTGGTAACCCCTACAAAGCAAAGACAGAGGAGTAAGGACACCAGGCACAATCTGATGATTTAATAGCACTCAGCAATCAGGCTACTAGATTGCACTTAATAGTATTTCATCAAGATGGATTGCGCACTGTAAAAATAATAAAAAAAAAGGAGCAGAGCAATGGAAACTGTCCTTTGTGGTCTCATTTATACTTCCATTGGTTCCACTGGGATTACTGTTCTGCATGAATCATAATGGGACACTGATAGCTTGGCCAATGCTCAGACAGCACATCAGGGAAGGGAACTGCATACAGTAACGTAACATCCTGTTTGGAGGCTTAAGAGGCAAAAATCCAGCAGCAATCACTTCCAAGGGTAGTAACTCAGCTCTTATTGCCTTCATAATGACTCCACAGTTATTCAGTCGATGAAAATGTAGCCTGATATTGAGCATCAAGAAGATAAATTAACAGTAAAGTGAGTCTTACACATCCACGCCCTACTTCAGTAGAGGACTGCAAAAACACATCATGTACTCTTAAAAGTATGTTGCCCTCCTCTGTAGGGTGCTGAGATGGCTGACAAGGAGGCAGGAGCAAACCCTTTCTTTACTAAATACCATGTGAAGAAGAAAAAAAAAAGCTGTTAAAATTTAGTAAGCAAATTTTCCATTTGAATTAATGAATAGTTCATGTTATAAAGTTCATGTTACCCATCATTTTGGCTGAGAGTTGAAACACAACAAAATTATTTTATGAGCTTCAGATTTGGCAATAACAACATGCATGAAGTGCCAAATGCCAGGAGGTTATGGCATTAATTTTTGTGTAAGACCCACTATCCCAGACAAAACAACTATCTCTAATTAAGTAAAAGCAAACAAACAAACAAACCCACCAAAATTGACATAAACCATACCAGTCAAACCCAAGCAAATTTAATCTTGTTTGATGTAAGCTTCCTTCCTGCCTCTATTCCCAGCTCCAGGCAGTTCTGTGTCTCAAGTCACGCTGGAAATAACTTACAAAGCAAACTCTTGGCTGAGGACCCCAAATGTCTTATGGTCAATGAACATATCCCCCAAAGACTTGCCTTACATCTAAAATGGAATACAAAGGATTCTCCAACTACAGCAGCTAAAAAAAAATCTATTCAAAATAAATCAGGGGATTATTATCAAGCTGGATATAAGACAATGAACAAAAGCTAATGAACAGAAGACTCACTGTGTCATGTTAAAATTAGACTGCATTGACATTTGCACTGTCACGGGTTTGTGGAATACTCTGAGACATATTATTGTTGTAAGCATCATATATATCTTTATCAATTTGATAATTAGAGCTAATTCAGTACATTTCTAGTTCAATGGGTAAGAGACAGGATAATGTCATAGAGGAAAAAATGATGGAGCTGGTACTAAGAGGGACAATTAGTGCAAATTGTAACACTGAAAAAAAAATGTGAACAGCAAGTCTTCTGGAGTTCCTCAAAGAAACAGCAGGAACAGAAGGGACAGCACTATCTCTGTCACTGTCCCCCAACACAGGTGCTGAGTCCTGAAGCCAACTCCCTCAGTGACCTGTACAGCCAAAACCAGCCTTGTTGGCAGTAGGAGATGCAGCAAAGTGCCAGAACAGGAAAAGAGATGGGAACACAGAGGTGGGAATGCAAGGAGAGGGTGGGAGAAGCTGGTGTTCAGATGATCTGAAACTGACATGGAATCACACCTTAAACTGCCTAAAATAAGCAGGGTCATTGAGAGAAATAAGGAATGATCATATGAGTGGCAATCCCAGCAGGCTTGAAAACATCGCATCCTCTGTCTGAAACAGGGATGAGGAGGCAGGACAGGCTGTGGAAGACAGAAAGCTTCTGCCAATTGCACCCGGATAGAGTTTCCACCAGTGCCGCCACCAGTGCATGTAGCACAGGTCTCACATGCCTTATCACAGCACCTGAAACTGCGTATAGCGGAGTGCCCAGATGCACTGAAGAAACTCCGTGTTACCTTCTGAAGAAATCCAGCCAAGTACAAGAGAGAAGGGAGAAAAGTAGTGGAACAATTGCCTTTGTATCACTGTATGAAATTATACACTGTAAATGAGCAGTAAAATCTGGCAAAAAAAAAAAAGAATAATAAAAAGTAAAAAATATACAGGACTGAAAAACAAAAACAAAAACCAAAAAATCTGAAGATGAAGCTTTAAGACGTTATGCCACCAAAACAACATAGGCATTTCTTGAACTATCTGGGTAGTTTGATTCAATCAACTATGTTTTTGCAAAAGTTGTGGTTTGATCCATATGCAGAAATATTTCACTGAGCTAGGAAGTGAAAATCATAACTCAGGTCTGGTGTAACTCCTTCAGAAATTCATTTTGGAGCTCCATTACCATAACAATGCTAATAAACTGGAAGTTGCACAGATGAAGAGAGATAAATTTGGTTGGTGGCTTAAATTATGATTTAGAAGTCTCAAAGCCCCTGAAGTGTACATGCACTCAGAGAATCACCAAATACATGATGCTGAATTCAAAGATGAGTGAAATGCTGATTAGGAAAGAGATTGTTTATGAAAGTTTTCTGAAAAACAGGGTATTTTAGACCATAGAATTAGCTCACAGGAAAGAAGCAGAACTGCAAAGCCTGGCAACTGCTGAGGACAAAGTGACAGCCTGGTGTAAGGGCAGACTCTCTGAGGTAACAGATCCACGCACAACTGTTCCTGCGCTTGATGAAAGGCAGGTTAACACGAGAACGGGACAGCTGCTCAACCAACATTAAATGTGACAGGAACAAGCCCCTACAACAGCAGCTCTCATTTTCTACACGACCTCTAATACTGCAATTGCCTGATCCATTCAGCTTGGCTTCACATATGCCTCCTTGTCCTCATGCCACTTCACTCTTACAATTATAACCTCTTCTATAAAATCAGGAATACATCTGCAGTTTTCCTCAAGTACAACTGACTATAGCATTCCTTGAAATGCCAGAAAATTGGCTTTCCTTTCAGACCATGCACATTTTTACACAAAAGCATTTCCAGCCCGTTTCTGCTGCCATAGCCGTTTCGTAGCCAGAAGAATGGGCGCTTATTTAAAGTGTCAATAATAGAAAGCAATAAAAACGTGAGGCTCTGCGAGCTGCTCCTGAGGGAGAGCTGCTTTGGGAGCACGACCCTTTCCCGGTTCTCTCGGTCACTGTCGCACCACGATCCGATCAGCTCGGTCGGGGCACTGCTGTTCTTTTACTGCTGGGGGTGGCGGTCAGCACCGCGATGCTGAGAGCTTTAGGTGTTTGAAACATTGTTTTGACAACTAAGGAGCTCCGACTTCGGCTTGCGGAGACACCGCTGTTTCTTCCAACTAACTAATGTGTTTTCAGCCCACCTCCATTAGAATTTTAACACGGAACCAATCCACAACAAAATCAAAACCGGCCAACCAACCAAACCCCCAAACTGAGCTGTTTCAGCACGCAAAGCCTCTTCAGACACACACGAATGATAATTTTAAAACCAAGCATTAATGAAACACAACGCCGCTAAATCCCCGTCGGCGGCTGCTCCTGCCAATCTAATTGCAGCTCGCAATCAAGGTGACTTTAGGGAAAAAAACTTCCCCTTGCAGAGACAATCCCCTCACGGGGTCGTTCCCCTCAGAAGGGCGATCCCCACACGGGGTCGGTCCCCTCAGAAGGGCGATCCCCTCACGGGCTCGGTCCCCTCAGAAGGACGGTCCCCTCACGGGGTCGGTCCCCTCAGAAGGACGATCCGCACACAGATCGGTCCCCTCAGAAGGACGATCCGCACACAGACTCGGTCCCCTAAGAAGGACGGTCCCCCCGCACTCCCGGTTCCCTCACGCGCAGCCCCGCCGCTCCCGCCCGGCGCGCGCCCCCTCAGCCTCCGCCCCGCTCCCTCCCCGCCCCCCGGGCGCGCACGTGCTGGAAGCAAACACCGCGCGGCGCATGCGCGGCTCGGCCGCCCCTCCTTTCCCCCCCCGGCTCGGGGCTGGCGGGGCCGGGGGAGGCGCCTCAGTCTCCGGGCGCCTGATTGACTGATGTCATTTCCCCGGCTCCGTGCCGCGCCCGCCCATTGGCTGCTCTCGGACCGCTATCTGCACCGCGCCGCCTGGTTGGCTGTTGCCGCGCCGGCCGTTGCCTTATCGCAATTCGGGCCACGCGGATTAGGGCATCCAAACCCCGCCTCTTGCTCCGGCCCCTCCTGCCGCCAACACCAGCTCCGCCTTCCCCGCCTTTTCCCGCCTCTCATTGGTCCAGAGCCGCTTCGCTCCTCCCTCCCGCCCGCGCGCTGAGCTCTCCGATTGGGTGAGGCCGAGCTCTCCCCAGTCCCCCCTCCGCGGCCGCTGATAAAGTTTTGTCCGGAGGCGCTCGGGCCACGCCCCCTCCGTCCCGGCCACGCCCCCCGCGGTCCTGGCCCCGCCCCCGACCTGCCCGAGGGGGGGCGGCCGTTGAGGCGCGCGCGCGCTCGCGGCGGCGGCACCTCCCGTCCCCTCCCGACCCCTCCCTCAGTCCCGCTCGGCGGCCGCGGCGGCAGCATCGCGGTGCGGCTCTGGGCAGAGGTGCCTCCTTCTTCTCCGCCTCAGCTCCGCTATCCCCCGGGCACGGTGAGCACAGCCGCGCGGAGCCGGGCTCTCCTCCCGAGCCGCCCGCTCCGCGACGGGGGAGCCGGGGCGGCGCTGGGGCCGGCGGGGAGGCGAGGCGGGATGTGGGGCGGCTGCGGGGGCTGCGGGGCTCTGCCCCCGCCCCGGCACCGCGGAGCCGCTGCGGGCGCGGCCGTCGCTCGTCGCGGCTGGCGCTGGTCGCGCTTGTCACCCGGGACCCGGCTGGGCTTTCGCATCGTATTTCATGTCTGTCGTATTGCCCGGGAAACTTCTCCAGCCCGATACAACTTCGAGCAAAAAGGCAAAAGAAAAAAAAAAAAGCCGGAGCCTTTTCATTTAATCTTACGGCTGCTGAAAAACACAGCCCGGCAAGTTCCTCCTAAAATATAATTGCAACATCACTCCTTTGGAGGAAGCGAGACCTGGAACATAGGACCGCAGGGAAAGCGCTTAATCTCTGCTTTTGTGTATCGTGGGAAAAGACTGGGCTTTTCTGTGCCGTAGGACTCTCCGCTGGGAGGCTTGATGGCTTTTAAAGTATTCCGAGGCTTTTCAGAAAGATTTTAAGTGCAAATTGCTCCTCTAAGGCTCTGATCCGGTGAATTGGAAATGAGGTTGGGTGTTGGAAGAGTCTGCTGTGCCGTTTTTCTGTCATTTTGGGTAGAAAACGCAAACGAAACCATACGAGTGCTGGACGTGGCTAGTCTGAAATTGGGGAATATTCACTGCCCAGCCCATGGTTCTGACACCCCTTTCTGAAACTTGTGTGCGCTTTCTTCTGCCTTTGGCTTGACTGACCTTGCTCAGCAGAATCCTTTGTATCATTGCTCCTTCCAAATCTTGTGTAACATCTGCCAGTGCTATGGAACTATATAACGTAGTTAGGGTTTTGAATGTCTGTCTTGCTTCCTGCTTGATTTTTCTCAGATCTTTTAGAAACTCGGAGACTGAGATTAATGCTTTTCTTTTTTCCCCTCCTTCCAATTCAACAGATGCAGTTTATGTTGCTTTTTAGTCGCCAGGGGAAACTGAGACTCCAGAAGTGGTATGTCCCATTATCTGACAAAGAAAAGAAGAAAATCACAAGGGAACTTGTTCAAACAGTATTAGCCCGCAAACCGAAAATGTGCAGCTTCCTGGAGTGGAGAGACCTGAAGATTGTCTACAAAAGGTGGTTCTGTCTCACTAACCTCGTAATTGCCATACATTAAAAAACGTGTATTAAGCAGCAAGAAAATAATGAAGGTTGTTTTTGTTTTCTTTTGTTGTTGTTGTTTTTTTTTTCCCTCTGCTGGTTACAGAGAAGACTTGACTTTTCCCTTGCATCTAATTTGATAACCAAGCAGGAGTCATTCATGTGTGGAAAATCACTCATGCATTTAGAAATGTACTGAAGAAATGAGCTTTCCTCCTATTTTTATAAGGAGTGGCAGTTCTTCTTGGGGGTCTCTTTAGGTGCACGCAGTACGTACATGCTTCATATTTGTACACATTTCAGATTTAATAAGTGATAAACATTTTATAAATATTTACCTCAAGAAGTGGCTTCACAGATCACCTGAAAATATAACTTGCTTTTAAAGACTTTTAGAAATAAGGAAATAGTTTTTCATAGTACTTGGGTTGGGTGTTGTTTTTTTTTTTTTCTTTTTTATTCTCCCTGTATGTACAAAAAAAAAAGTTTTTCATTATTGAAAAAATCACGGCTAGCTTTCTTTTGGTAGAAGTACTGTATAATTTCCTTCATGATAATTTCATTTTTCAGTTGTTCCCTAACCTTTGTAGGAGTATTTGGCAGGCATTTTTTAGCTTTGTGCTGATCTTCAGAATGTATCAGAGTGTAGTGGTGTGACCATAATTCTCCTCCAGAAATAACAGTAATCCTCCTCCTGATGTGGTATGCTGCATCTCTTCCAGCTAAAGGTGGTGCTGCAAAGCCTTGAGTTATCTCTCTTCCCTAGTTAGTTGTAAACTTGAGAATGTTTATGCATTCCTCTTTTCTTGTGGAGGTGGTAGATAGTCTGTGCCCACAGTAAATATTGTTGCATTCCCTGTAGATAGGACAGAAGGGACTGGACCAGAAAGGAGGAGTTTGTAACTCTTCTCCAGGATAACAATTGGGTAGTATCAAATATGTTTAGATGTTTTAAGTGCTGCTCTGATATATACATTGGTTTGTGTAAAGACTTGCTTGTGAGTATTGCTGGTCTGCCTAATGCATGTAGTTCTTCAGCATTAGGAGGAAAGAGGAGAAACAGTGCATGAGGCAGTGCTGATAGCATACACAGTTTGTTCTGCCTCTTGATTTCCTCACAAAACTCCTTGAACATGTATGTAGATAAGCTTGCTCCAACACTTGCTGCACTTCTTTCCATATTAATGCCTGCATGTACCTTTTCAGCTGGGCATTCATGGGACTAAATCAGAAAAATGAGGCATTAGGAGACCAGTCTGTTTCCTTCCTTACCCAGTCTTGAGCAGCAGTGGTTGTCCTGGGGAGGATTCCACACAGCTGCTTTCCCTCCCTGTTTGCTGTTAATAACTACTTGCCATGTCCTTTTGTGTCTGGGGAGCTGGTGGAAATTTGGGTAGGACTGCTTGAATTACTGAACATTGTGGAGTTCTTGCATCTGAGTGGTGTGTTGTGGGTCCTGTGGTCAAGGAGAATGGAGAAATTTGCTGGGAGACGTCTATGTCTGGCTAAAAATGGTCTAAGTGCTGCAGTCTGTCTGCTGGACTGCTGGTGTGCACAGCTGACTGCAGTAGCTTATTTCACTCTCTGCAGACCAGTCTGGCACAGAGAGCCTATGAAACTGCTGAAGATGAGCTTGTACCAAGCTAATGAACATCTCAACTTTCTTTTTGACTGAAACATCACCAGAAGGACTAGATGTAAGAGGTGATGGTTTAAATGTCTGTATCTGGTAACACTAACATCTCTTAGATTTGTGGTACTTGTTCCCATCATAGCATCATAGTTAAAGATGATGAGCACCAGCTAGTATGATTTCTTTGTAAAGGATGACTTTTGGTAGCTGAGAAGGTGGTGGCTAAAAGGAAACACACCAGAAGGAACTTTGTGGGTTGTGAAATTGCAAAAGGTGCTCCTAGTTCCTCTTGAGCATCTCTAGAGGATCTCTGCTGAGATTTGTTCTTGTCTGATCTATTGCTGGTAATGATCTGAACATGCTGGTACAAATGTTTTTAATATAAGTTTTAAAAGTACGTGCCTATTGCTATTTTGCATCTTAAATTATTGACATTTAAGTGCTGTTTGTTTTTAGAGTGTGTTTGTTGTTCACATGTAGGAGAATTGAACCTAGATACTGCAGCTCAAAGAATGATTGGCAGTGTCAGAACTGCATTCAAGGGTCTCATACCTTTTTTCAGGAACAAAATGAACTCAAATGCAGAAGTTGGCAAGACAGTAGCTTTAGCTTCCTTATGAGACTTAACCTTTAATAAGACTGCTGGACTGTTTTGATTAGCCTCCTTAGCTCTGTAACATTTCATCTTTGTAGGATGTTTTCTGAATTTTCAAGGAAATAGATCTTAAAATTCATCTAAATGTACGTGGCATAGCTTTTATTTCCCTCTGGTTTCATACATGTGCCATTTACAATGGTTGGCTCAGGCATTGCCTTCTTTAGTTTGTTTCCTTCAGCACTACAGAACACAAACAGAAAGGTGCCCAGCTTTTGTCATGCTGCCTGAATTGACTTGTATGTTATTCTGGAGCTGGTTTGGAAGATAGTTTTTCAGGCTGATAGGCACCAGAAGATTAAAAAGAGGATGTGAGCTTCTAACTTCAAGAAGCATAGAGATTTGAAGTGACTTGCTGGGAAAATAAAAAATTAAATATGGGAAGCCAACAACAATTACGCTTTATGAAAATAGAGGGGGAATCATCTGCAGACAGCTGATTAGAAACTTAACAAACACAACTGATGTGTTTGCTCTTCACATTTTGTCATTTAAAAAATAACATAGTGGTTTTGGAGCATATAGGGTACAAGTTCATGCAGCTTTCCCCCTGTGGCAGAAAAGATGTGTTAAATGTTAATTTCTAATTTTGCTAAAGAGGGAACTTAGGATGTGATTTTTCCTTGAAAGACTTCTGTTCATGATTTTAGCTTCTGGCAATATGAGTTATTTTCATTGTGTAGTATATTGCAGTCAAAGGCAGAACTTGGAGAAAATCTTATATAAATTTTACTTTGTTAGCATATGGTTAGCTGCATTCATGGGACATAGTTTTTGTTGATTATTTGGTTAAGGGTTGTGGCTTTGCTTTTATGGGTCAGTTTGGAATTGTGTTTGGAATTATCATATTATGAAACTTCCATGGCTTTTGCTGCTCTTGATATGGCAGTTGTCTTTTACTTTTGCACAACATAACCACAATCAGAGGTTATGTTAAAGACTTTCAACAGAATAAGTTTTAAAACCTACTTTCTTCCCTCCCTCCACTGAAAGAAGCAATGGAAGGGCCCACTGTGCAGGTAGTGTGTCTGTTAAAGTGCTGTGAACTCAAGGTACAGCCATGTGGCCAGTGGGATGTGCCCAGCTTGGCATGATCCCTCTTTTCCCTTATGGATAACTTAGCAGCCAGTTGTAACTCTTAAAAATATTACTGTGGTGTTAGTTAGGTAGCTTTGTAAAACTGGCTGAATGCAATGATTATAGTGAATTAGATACTTGGGCTTGATAAATTTAATTAGATCAGGTCTTCTTTGTACAGGGTTCCAGTTTGTGTGGCACTAGGAGGACCTCAGTAACAAGAAGCAACAGCTTTTTCTTAGAGAATTAGCAGTATCAAATTCTTGTTCATTTTGAAGCTGCTGGGGGCTATAGCCTTGCTGAAATAAGAAACTGGAACAGTGCTTCACTTTGGTAGACTCTGTCCTGGAGCCTCAGAAGTTCATGTTTTATTAAAGAAATGTGTAAAGTTGTGGGACAAGAAAAAAAACTTAGGTCAAGCACAGCTTATTAGTTGTCCCAATTTTCATTGGGTTAGCTATCAGCAAACCACAGATTCTTGGGCTCATTGAGCACTTGTCTGCCTCCTTGTTGTTGTTTAGAGTTCAGTTCTGTTTGTACCAAACTTTGTAAGGTTTAAACTTCCACAATTGGGATCTACATGCAAAGTGACTTTAGATGCTGACAGACTTATGGCTTGTTTGCAGGCTTACCTGGTGCTGAACTTCCAGGGATGACTTCAAGTGGGTGTTCTCCCATCTAGAAGGAGTGCACCACTGAGCTGGTAGGATTTGTAAGTTGTGCTCTGCCCACAGTGACTTGATCTCTCAGCAGAGTTACTGAACTTGGCTGTGAGAGCAGAAGAGGAGAACTCTGCTGAAACATTGCCTGCCTGTTTTGAGGCTTCCCACTGCTGAATTGCTGCAGGTCTTGAGGGGAAGATGCATGGATTTGTTTCCTATTAAAAAAAAAATAAATCTGAGGCCATCTGTCTGAAGGCAGGAATTTGCATAAGTATTTATACCTGCTGTGTTACCTTTTTGTTCTTTAATCCTGTATTACATTTTCAGGTGATTTGGTCCAAACAGTTTTTGGTCTCTCTGGTTTTCGTCCGCTTTCTGATAAGTGGAGGATATTTATCATAAAATATTTTCCTAAATGAGGGTAAGCATCTGAGTTGAGTCTGATTATTATTTTAATAATATTTACTGAGATAAAAAAAGACCAGAACTGCAATAGTAATAAAAAAGGCAGAATGCTTCTTACAGACTACTCTTTATTTACTTCTGGGTATGTACTTTCCTATCAGGGTTTGCCTTTTCATTGGGTGCATATGAAAGGTTTCTGTCAAGCTCATTAGAAAGAAGCTGTTTCTGCAGAGCAGAAATCTATTTGAGCCCGAGTAATTTACTTGTCTTTGTGTGGATACTGTCCATGTAAACTTCTGCACTTGGCAAAACTTCCAGTGTCTGCTGTGGATTATAAGTGGATACTTTTTTTTTTCTGAGGGCCTTCCTGCAGGGGAAAAAAATTAAAATAATGCCTCTGAGAATTTGGATCTAAAGCATTCCTTTGTAGTATGCTCATGCCCTTTGGTATGACTTGTTTTTACTTTTCTGCCTTTTGCCATTTAGGCTCATTAAATCTGCATTTGTTTTCTTTCCTTGAGTAGTGATCCATTAGTCATGGTTGCTACTTAAAAAATAAATACTGAAATATTCTCTGCATATAATAATAGATGCCCAGGCCTCCATTTTGTGTTGATGTCCACTGAGTAGTTTTTGTTTCTTGGTCTTATTTCTGCAGAACTGCAGTTGGCAAGGCTTGAATGTGCTGCTTGCTTGAGTCTACTTGCTAGCTGCCAAATACAGTCTTTTGAAAGTTTTCATTCTCTCTTAAATGAGGACACTGAGGGCAGACCATGTTCTGAGAAAGTATTTTGTGCTGGTCTCCCTGTCTCCCCTTCCCCCTTCTTTTTCCATAAAATAGTTCTGTGTGTCAAGAGAGACTCTTAAGTATTAGAGGAGCAGAGAGAGACTGTCCCCTGTGGATAAACTTAAAATATTTGAGTCAAATTTGATTTGGTAAGGTCTGCTGGTACATGGTTCATCTTGTGTTTAAGCACTGTAAGGAAACAGTTGAACTGCATTCATCATAATCAGTGCTGCTCTTCTGCAGGTGATGAAAGGTTTTGCTTAGATGGATTTGGCCTGAGTGCTGGTGATTAGTGTAAATATCATTTAATGGGTCAATGCTCTTTTTTGCAACAATGAAATATGATAACATTGAAAATTCCTCAGTAGGCTTGAAAGCATATTTTTTCTTTATAATATTTCTTTCCAATACTTTTTGAAATAGTTTAGGTTCCTTATACAGATTGAATGTTGCAAGCTACTACAATGACTATAGATGTCCTTGAAAAATTAGTGAGGCATAATCAGAACAATGTAAAATCAAAAGAACTGTGCTTACATAGGACTTCTGATGAGCTGATGAATCTCTGTGGTGAAGAGATGAAAGAGAGAGGGAATGAAGGTTGCCTTTACTGGAGGTGTCTTCCTCTCTTCCCCCATCATGTTTTGTGGTAGCATAAGCAGTAATATTTTATAGTAGTTTAAAGATTTTGTATAAAACCTTGTATATAAAAGCTTGTATATAAAATTCTGATTAATCTTTCATGTTGAAGCCATAGCAATTTGATTTGGAGCAGAATGGGAGAAGGGGGGATGTTTTCAGATCATAAATGGTACTGGGATAGGTGTCTTGGAGATTAATTTCAACATACCTGAAAATACAGTGGGGTTTTTCCAGAACTTGTAATAAGTATGATAAGTCTTAGCTGATAAAATGTTAAAATATGTTTTATGTTTAAAGGATGCATAGATTCCTCTGTGTGGGAAACCACACAGATATTCACATCTGAATGACTTATTTTTCAGCATGGTTGGCTACACAGGAGTGCTGAATGTGGCCAGTTGTCCCCTCTAGAGGCAAACAAAAGCTGTTTCTGGTTCATGTAAATTAGCAGTTACAGCAGGTGGTACTTCAAATCTCTTGTGAAAAGTATGATAAGTCCCAGCTGATAAAATATGTTAAAATATGTTTTATGTTTAAAAGATGCATAGATTCCTCTGTGTGTGAAACAACACAGATATTCACATCTGAATGACTTATTTTTCAGCATGGTTGGCTACACAGGAGTGCTGAATGTGGCCAGTTGTCCCCTCTAGAGGCAAACAAAAGCTGTTTCTGGTTCATGTAAATTAGCAGTTACAGCAGGTGGTACTTCAAATCTGGTTTGTGCCATGTGTGGCTGAAAGGCATATGGTTTTGACATGTTAGAAGAGACTAAATGAGGTTTTCAGCTTTCATTCCTGTGTTTTTTTTAAAATCAGCTTTCTTTAAACATGGCTTGAAAAAAATTATCATACAGCACAGTAGAATTGGACGGTCTTTTTTGTTAAAGTGGAACTTGAGCATATCTGAAGTTATGACTTCCCTGTATTCCAAGGTGGAAGTGGATTGCTAGAAACTATTTGGTGGCCTCTCATCAGTCTGATGCCAGGACAGCTAGTAGGGATTGCATTGTGGCTTAGTAGTAGTTGGGGTTGTTGACATTGTTATTGGTTTTGGAGTTTTTGAATTTTTAAAATTCTCTATAAAGACCAAACCCTAATTGCTAATTCAGTCTGTCTTTCTTGAGGCATTTTCTATGGTTTTTATTATCTGTGTATAGTTTACATGATGCAAGTTTAACATGGGATCAGTTGATTAATTTACTGGTGTACAGATGTTACAGAGAGAAGAGAAAGTACGTCATCTCAGAACTCTGCCATGATGCCACAAAATCAAATATACTAATTTTCCAACCACCTCTTTGGCTGTTTTAGTTCTGTCAGCTAAAGGATGGCAAAGAGTGAAGTCATGCTTGACTCAGAGACATAACTCCCTAGTACATGTGTGTGTCTTCTGGTCTTTCAGCCGTTCTTTGGTAGGACTTGCTTGCTTGTGATTTGGACTATCATATTGATATATGCTGAACTTGAGTATGAAGGACTGCTGGGAATGTGATACTCCTCAAGTGCATTCATTTTGCCTATGCTCATATGCTAACATCAGGATTATTTTGTTGTTACAGATATGCAAGCCTCTATTTCTGCTGTGCTATTGAAGATCAGGACAATGAACTAATAACTCTGGAAATAATTCATCGCTATGTAGAACTTCTTGACAAGTATTTTGGCAGTGTGAGTGTAGTTTCTTTATATTTTGTCATTTTGTTTTATGCCCACAGCATTTTTACAAGAACATAACCAACTAATAATTGAAAAGGTGTATTTAATACATTTCGTGTGGCTTGCTTGGCCAAACTAAACTGATGGTTGCTTCTATTAAAATACAAAACTAATTTATTGATTTGTAGAAGAAATGTTATTAATCTGGTGTTAATTGCCTGTATTTGTTTCACTTCATAGTAGTCTCACTTGGGGTCAGCTAAAATCTTACTCTTAGCAGGAAGCTTTTCTTTTCCCTTGCACAGCTCTAGTGTGAGCACCTCTTACATCTGCTCCCAAAGGAGCAGATTGGTTGTGAAGTGGCAGGAATGGTAAGGAAAGACAAGAGAGACATCTGCTTGCCTAGACAGCAAACACAAACAGCTACAGTAATATACAAGAACACTTCTAGAAAAACGGGTGCTCATTCTGCCTTCCTTTGTAGTCCTTCTGACTATGAAATGCACAGACTGAACAAGAAATTTGAGATTATTGATTTTCATACCTTTCTGTAAGATTGTGCGAGCTGCCTTTGCATATCGCAGACAACAAGAGAACTTTAATAGGGAATGTTCTCTTGTGTCTTGAGGAGCTGTGCCTGACAGAGTGCTGTGAATTGAAACCTTTTTAACAGTGAAAGCTTTCTTTCAGAGGTTGCTGTAGCTGTTTTTAACTGAAGAAAAAATCTGATTTTTTTTTTTTCTCCAAGGTGTGATTTTTATTATTGCCCCAGTCTTCACAAGGTTACAGCCTTAGGCCAACATCTTGATTTGGTAAAGTTTGGTGAAGCTGTCAACAAGTTAAGTTTTGTGAGAGGATATACCTCAAGTGACTCACAAGGTTACAGCCTTAGGTGAACATCTTGATTTGGTAAAGTTTGGTGAAAGCTGTCAACAAGTTAAGTTTTGTGAGAGGATATACCTCAAGTGAGAGTATCCTCCCACTTTGCAATAATGCTTGATGTTCTTTTTAGGTCTGTGAACTTGATATCATCTTCAATTTTGAAAAAGCCTATTTCATTTTGGATGAGTTCCTTTTAGGAGGGGAAGTTCAGGAGACATCCAAGAAAAATGTTCTTAAAGCCATTGAACAAGCAGATCTTCTACAGGAGGTAAGCAAATCCAACTTCTCTGGCCCAAGTGTCAGCATGGTAGGCTGTGACTTAGAAACCTCCTGTTCCTCTAGGCTTTTAGAAGGTATTTCTTAGCATGCTTAGCATGTAGTTTAGCTAGTTGTCCTAAGTGTGCAATAGGATGATGTTAGCTGCTCTTTTTGTTTGACTTGGCATGTTGATGTTGTAACCTACTGTGACTTCATGTTCTGCTAGTAAATGCAAGTGGCTGTTTTATGTTTATACCTAGGTAATTGTAGATCATGCTAATTTAACTTGGTGTTGTTCATGTGTCTTTCATTCCTTCTTTTCATTTATTAACCATTAATTTTTTTCTCATACCTGATGCATGTTCACTTTTTTACTTTTTCATTGCTGAAATCCAGAAGCTAGACTCTCTTTGAGACTTGTTCAGGTATAGTTCTAATTAGTTCTTAGACCTGCTTTTCTGCTATAGGCTGCTTACTGTGGAACATTTCCAAGCTGACAAAGCAGTAATAGTAGTGCCATAGAAACATACAGAATAAAGTATAAGAACATTGTTTTTTCACTTTGAATGCTTTTGTTTTTTGTTATTATCATTAATAATGATGGATTGCATGTCTACCATTTAAAAAAAACTGATGTGAAGGGGTTCAATGGTATAGAACAACTTAATATCATTTCTCCATATTTATCCATCCTATGCTGGCTATTTTGGGTTTATCTGATTATGTTTGTTTTTTTTTCCCTACTGAAAATGTACACTGTTAAGGTCCTTGAATGTCTGAATGGGAATCAAAAATTCTGGTGTGCTGGGGGAATCATCAGTCTTGTGTGCATGTCAGTGAACATATGTTTTAACAGGGATGGTTCACCTTTATTTTTTAGTGTACTGAGGTTTACTGCCTAGATGCTATATAGATCCAAATTGCTCTATTTCTCCCTATGTGAACCTTCAATTTGTTATTTTCTCCTATGAATTAGTTGCTTAATTCTCTTGCAAGCCTTCTATGTTCCACTTGGTAGTCTTTTGTTGGACATAGTATTAGTAGGATGAGGAAACACAAGGTGTTCTTTACCCTGGTAGCTGTTTTTTAATCCCTTCAGAATACATGCAGATCCACTGCACATTGAAGTTCTTGTCAAGAACACAGTCAGCCATTACACACAGATCTGTTACCCTGTTTTTCTAGAAAGGAAATATATGCACTTATTTACTTCTGGTGTTCTGATTCAATTTAAGTCCTTCTTTACTCTTTGTAGGAATTATCTTAACCAGAAGTCCTGTTGCTGTTTATAAAGACAGGAGAAAAATAATCTGTTCTCTTAAAATCTTTTGCTCTATATGAAAACAGATATAACAGATTGGTTATATGTTCCAGTTTGTTTCCTGCAAATGCAGTTAATTGTATATAAAGTAGAATAACTATATTCTTTCTCGTTGTTACTGTTTTTGAACTTTATTTTCACTACTTTTGTGGGCTGTTCTAAAGAAAAAATACATTTCTAGGAATTCATTACTGTTTTTTGAGCAACAAACATTCTCTTTTTACAGAGAATATAATTTCATATTAATATAACTTCAAATTCAAAATCTTAGGCAAAGGGAAATACCACTTTTTCAATGTGAGACTTTTCCCTAATCCCCCTGGTAGCTTTACTCTGGTTACCCTTCCTTTCCCCCTCTTTAGGAGATTTTCAGTTGCCAGTGTTTATTAAATAATTGTTTAACTTGAAATGTAGCAGTTTATCACAGCACCACTGGAGTCCTATGTGGGTCTTCTGTGTTTTTCATTCTTAGTTGGATTGACTGTTGATCAAGTATAAAACTACTCCCTATACATGCATTTTAGTTTATAAACCCTGTAAAAGTCTGGGTTCATATTTAAATTGAGCTTCCAATACATTTGGACTCTTCTATGGAAGCTTGGTTTTGTATCAACTGCTGCTATGTAAATGCTGGGTTTGATGAAGAGAGTTGTTAAAATAACAGTTTCTCACATGTGGAGAATTTTTAGTACTTAGAGTTAATATCTGCCTCCCAGAATACTTCAAAACTACTAGACTGAAACATGGTGTGATTCCAAATGCAAAGCATATTTCTAGCAGGGTTATCATGTGTTTGTTTTTGATCATTCAGATTTTAATTATGTGCAACAAAGTAATTTTTATTTGGCCCTGAATACTCATACTGCGAAATATATATATGTACACACATACATGTATGGAGTCAAATACACAATATTATTAATTGAATACACGACATTAGTAATTAATAATGCTACAGGCATTGGTGTCTGAAGTACCTTAAAGATGAAGAGCTGTACAGAATACTTATACAAAAGAAAATCATTACAGATCCATTAAGTGGCTGTGTAATGTTAAGAGGAAATACACTAAGGCACAAATTGCTGAGTAGCCTTCCCTACTTATATTTTCTGTTGAAGTTTTCCAGGCTGTACTTCTATGTCTGAGCACCTACTTCAGTTTGTCATAAAGTTCTTGGTGCTGTGAGGTCCCTTCACTAACTGCTGCAGTTTGTGTGATGGAAACACCAACTTGTTAAATCCCTCTCAACCTTCACATTCTTGTTAGTTCCTCAGGAATGTACTTAGTTCAAGTATTCATTCCCTACCCCCTCCCCCATATTTCTTACCACCTGATAACTTATCAGCAGTCAGTCACCAATACTGGCGGTGGTACCCAGATGAAGGGTAGTAAAAGGTAATTAACTCCAGTGCCTCCATTCTTCCTTGTCTCTCTAGTGAAGAAATGCTTCTGTTCAAAAGAATGCTGATGATTTTATATCTTGTTTGCTAGAGAGACTTTAATACTTAACTAGTGATTACAAAGGCATGCACTGCTGAAAAGGTGGTTTTTGCTTTTCTGAACAACTCAGTTATACTGAAAGAAATTGGTAGATGCAGTGTGTTGTTGCATGAATTAAATATACATGTGATGTGTGGAACAGTTAAAAGATAAGCCTGTGCATCATTTTGTGACACTTGAGTTTTTGAAACTACCAATGATAGATGTTCTATACAAAATAGAGGATTTGATTTATTTCTCTCAAAAGCCTAATTGCTCTGGTTTTTTTGGTTTTGCTTGTTTTTTTTTTTATTTTTTTTTTTTTTTTGATGGCTTGAGTAATTCAGTATAGTGCTTGAAAGTTTGTGGTCATTTCCTGTGCTAAAATGCTGAAATCAAGGCATTAATAATTATATTTCAACCGAGCCATCATGTTTATATTAAAGCAAATATGTAGAGACTTATTCCTCTTTATTTGAAGTAGGAAAAATTTCATAAACATTGTCTATGAATGAAAATGGTTTTTGTTGATTATCCTAGGTTAATTTTAGAAAAGTATTGTGGAAATTATCCCTATTTTTTTCCATCACTGTTCTTTTGTAGGATTTTTGTGTGGTTTTCTTTTTAGTATTTGATTGCAGAACATCTGAATACTTAAAAATACATATTTTTTAAAGAGGTTTATAAATAAAAAGGCCAGGGAGTTTGTCCACAAATTACACTTGCTTGTTTGTGTCACTACTTCAGTAATGATCAAAAACTTGAAAGCTATGTGAACATTTTTTGTTCTTAGGCTCTTTCAGTTTGGCCTCAGGCAGTATTTACTAGTCCTTCCACATGAAGAATGAAAGATAAGCCATCAATTAACCTTATTTTCTTTGCCATTTCAAACCCTTGCCTCATGCTATATCCAGAAGTTTGCTAACAGTGTTCATGGTGGCTGACTTGCCTTAGATGCTTAGGGTTGCTGCATAGATTTAAGCTTTTGGTTTTAGCATGAGCATCTTGGGAAATGAAACTCTGGTGAATTTCCTGCATATGCTATGAGAATTTTCTTATTGGAGATGAAATGTGCTTACTGGAAACCATAGGTTTGAAAGTATGCATAATAGTAGGTATTAGGTTGTTCTTGAGATGTGCCAAAACTCCTTCATTTTGTCATTAGCACTGGCAAAATTCTTATATTTAAGCCTCCAGTGGGTGGGAGTGAGTATAAGGGATTTTGACTGGTTTAGGAAACAGCCTTTGTAAGCACCTTTTTATTACCATTTGCCTGAGAAACTGACCACAATGAATGAAATTAATTCAGTCTTCACTTAATTTTTTTTTTTTAAAAATACAGACTGCTGAAATAGACTGCCTTCCTAAGTTGGCAGTGGCATTATTTGCCTTGGCTGTACCTGTGTTCCCCTGAATGTGAAACAAGAATGAATAATGGAATCTTTATTATCATGGAGATCCAACTGCCTTGACTGCCATTTGCTCTTCACATATAACTTCCATCTCAGTTTCAGGTGGTCAGCTTTGTTGATCACTTGGTCTCTGCAGTTTTGAGGCATGGATCTGCTTGATTTTAAGCACAGATAATGATCTACAGTTACATTTTAGAAGATACATATATATGGGGACCTGTGAGAGTTACTGTGGATGAGGAATGATAGATTGCTAGTTCATTATTTAGGGATTAGGAAATAGCTGTGATTTTTATGGATTTGGAATCCCTCCCAACTTGCAGAAGAACAAGTTGTAGTGTTTTGGTAGCTGATGCTTTCGCACAATGTGTTTCAGAACTCAGTCTCAGGAGATGTATTTATAGAAGAAAGGGGTTACAGTGCTGTTAGAGTGTTTGGCACTCTCCATGATACTCAAAAAATGCAGTCCCAGGTGACTGGGAAGAGGAAAGCTTTGTACCCATTTTTAAAAAGGGTAGAAAGGAGGACTCTGGAAACTCCCAACCTGTCATCCCGACTGCCGTCCACACCTGGAAGGATCATGGACCAGATCCTCCTAGGAGCTGTGCTAGGGCGTGTGGAAGACAGGGAGGTGATTTAGGACAGCCAGCGTGGCTCCACCAAGGGCAAGTCCTGCCAACCCCTTCTGTGGATTTGCCTTCTGTAATGGAGCAACTTCATCACTGGCCAGGGGAGGGCTACAGATGTCATTTTTCTGGACACAGTTCCTCGTACAATTGCTCTCTCTAAATGCAGGAGGGGTGGATTTGATGGGACAGTTACATCCAAAGGGTAGTGGTCAGTGGCTTGGTGTCCTGATGAATTTCAGTGGTGCTCCTCAGGGGTCAGTAATGGGACCAGTGCTGTTTGATGTCTTGGATAATGACATAGAGGGATTGAGTGCACCCTCAGTAAATTTGCAGGTGACACCAAGCTGAATGATGCAGTTTATACACGTGAAGGATGGGATGCCATCCAGAGGGACCCGGACAAAGCTGCAGAAGTGGGCCCCTAGGAATCTCAGCAAGTTCCACAAGATCAAGTACAAGATGCTGCACCTGGGTCAAGGCAACACCTGGTATCTGTACAGGCTGGAGGGTGAACAGGAGCAGCTGAGAAGGACTTGGGGTGCTGGTGGATGAGAGGCTGGACATGGCCTGGCAATGTGTGTTTGCAGCCCAGAAAGCCAGTCCTACCCAGGGCTGCATCAGTAGCAGTGTCCCAGCAGGTCCAAGGAGGGGGTTCTGCCCTTCTAGCCTGCTCTGGTGAGACCCCACCTGGAGAGTTGGATGCAGCTCTTAGGAACAAACCTCTAAAGACTGAATTTAATTGTAGCGGACAGGTCTGTAAACCTTGATATTTCTGTGTTTTTAATAGATAATTTTAAACTGTCCTTGCACTGCAGAGTAGGCTTTCCTGCAAATACTGACCAAATCACAGTTTCATGTTTAAAGCAATAGAAAGTATTCGAGAAAATGAATAGTAGAACCTACATCTCTTTTTCCCAAATAATAATGGGGGAAGAGGAGGGTAACATTTTAAGATGTAAATATTTTCTTGAAAAAGTGGCACTGAGTATCCAGGAAGTTAGCATTATCATGCTTTGACCTTTTCCCATGCTCAGTCTGTTTTTTTGTTGTCGTTTCTTTGTTTGGGTGTATATGCATGTAAGATGTGACTAATTCTGTTACATCAAAGAAATCAAAATTAGAAGATCTTAAGACTCAACAAGTTGAAGGAGTCTTTCATAAAAGTGTTAATTATGCATTCATTAAGCTTTGCAAATCGAAACATCAGAAAGTTTCAATTAAAAATAAGACAAGCATAGGCAGTCCTTGCCTGTCTCATAACTATCCAGTACCCTCTCTGATGTGAATTCCACTACTGATCAGTTTGCAAACTGTGAACTTGATCCTTTATTGATATAAGCAATTATTATAGCACTGTTAAGGGTATATTAATAATACACTGAAAACTCCTTGTAGATCATAATTCTAATAAGGATGTATTTATTCAGTAGATTGAACTGATAGATTATTTTCCAGAGACATTCTCCTGTCCTCAGCAATAGAAGGACTGTGTCAGGGTGATGCAATGAAAATTTTAGCACTGCTGCATGTGCCATAGCTGTTTTCAGGAGTTTAATCATGTGCTGCTCATCAGTTAGCATAGTAAATTCAGTGAACAATTGCAAAAGGCTGCTTGAGAGTAAGGAGTATCTTATCTTCAAAATCAGGTGCTCTTTCTGAATGCTCCCATTAATCTGCATTTTAATAGAAAAAGTTCACTGGATGTGGCAGGATGTTGAAAAGATCAATGTTAATGTTTGGATCTTGAGATTGTGAGGGGAAAATTCCATTTTTACTGTGTTGTCTGAGATGTGTCACGTTGCAGTGCTACTACCCTTTCCTGTGAGATGGTCTTAGAGTGCCAGAGAATATTAGGTGAAAAGAATACGAATGTCCCCAGGAGGCATCCTGTTGTGTTTGGTTTTAGATTCTCATTTCTTTGTGGTCTTCTCTGTGTCTTGTACAGATGTTGGGGCACATTGCTGGTAGGTGTTTTAGGGTGTTTATTCATTTTTAAGGGAGAAGCTATATTTCTTGTTGCCAAGCTGTCTAGCAACAGTAGTAGTTCTGGTGATGGATATCAAGATACAATAAAAGTATGTATATTAAATTTTATGAAGGCTGAAAATTTGATATTAAAAGGCAAAAAAAATCTAAGAAGACCTATTGTTCACAATTCTTTGAGAATTCTAACTATGATTAACAGATGGATTGATTAAAGTGAAAATGTTGAACTTTTTGTACTAAGCAATACAACATGAAAGTGACTACTCAGCAAGTAACAATGGTGACTTAATAAATACAAATTTTGAATTAAATTGTTAAATTACTTCAAGGATGATAGGTTGAATGAAACTTTTCTTCATGAAACAAGTTTTCTTTTATTATTAATGTTAATAATAATACTGTGTGACAGTTAATCACTGAATGAAATATATGTAAATTTTGTATTCTATTATGCTCTCAATCTGTTCCAATAGTGAACAACTGCTCTTTCAGAAAGTAAAATCTTTGAATTATTTATTTCATGCACAACTGAAGCTTTCTAAAGAACTCCTTACAACATACTCTTTTAAGGTATCAGTATCCTGTACCTGATTAAGAAATTAAAAGTAAACTTTAGTGTTTTTTATTGCATCTCCTTCAAGTCTCTGAACAGATGTTTTCTTCTGGTGCATTTCTATTTGCATTCTTAACTGTGGACTTTTAGAAAAACCTATTAAAATTGTATTAATCTAAAGAATAACAGTAGCAGATTTAAGTGAAATAACTGAATTTACTTTTGTATATTGTTTAGAGTATTTTTAAAGTCTTATTTTAAATGTAAATAAGCTGTAAATGATTGGATGGATGTTGGGTTTTTATTTGCCTTTTTTTTCATTTAGTAGTTGATACTACATTTTCACTGCTGCTTGATTTTGTTTGTAGAGCCAGAATGAAGACTGGGGAGGTTTGTCTGAGGATATCTTATGATTAAGAGCAATCTAAGGCATTAGCCCTTTTGACCCCATCTAAATGATTGGTAACTACCAAGTTTACCATTTTGGTGGCATGGATTAAATGGGTGCTATGCAAAGAGTGCTGCACGTGTAATTAAGTCCTTGCAAGGGTAAACAGAAAATGGGTGATGGGCTTAACTTTCTGCAACACTTGCATGATGGTCTTTGAAGAGTGCTTTGAGTGTTTCCTTTTATTTTCCTTTTATGTACTAACCGCATCAACTTGAAATCTCTGACTTCTACTGGCTTTCTTTGGTGTTGATAATTAAGTGGGATAATGCAAGTTAGAGAAATGGATACCAAAGCTAATAACTAAACAGATGTTTGGCTTTGTTTACTTACAATCAGCCCATATAAACATGTATTTATTGGAAAATGAGCTGTTTACATCTGCTATGCAAAGAAAATGGGCCCTAAAAAGACTGGGTGCTGCTGCAATTGACTGTGTATCAAAATGCCGGATGCTGCATGACAGAACAAAGCTTATTTGCATATCTAGTGCATTGCAACATATTTTTGTCCAAAGCATAAGTGGAATACGTTGTGGCAGTCCTACTAATAAAGGTAAGATTTTAATTTGCATAAAGCAAGTTTAAAACATACATGAAAATGATTTGCTGGAGAAAACTTAATTAGTGTGTTGCTTACTTGATATAATGATAAACAAGTAGTTCAGTAAACAGATTGGCTTTTGTAATATGAAACTGTGGTAATAGATCTAATTTCATATGCAGCTTTATAAGTATCGGGATTTAGTTTCCAGATAAAAGAAAATAATTGTAGTAGGCAAAAGTATTTGTAACATGTTCAAAACCAAATTCACAGTTGGTGTATGGGTATTTTTACCATTTAAGAGTTTCCTAGTATATGATACAACCACTGATTTGTGTTGGGAAGAGGAGGGCAGCCAATAATCTGCTTGCATATTAGACCCAAAGAATTAGGGCAGCCAACAAGTAATTTGTTGAAAGCAATTTCTTTAAGAGCTTGGACATATCCTAAAACAACTGTAAGAAAAACGTAACTGCTCAAGCTTGGTACTCTCTTACCACATTTTCCCCCCCAATTTTATTGCTTTTTCTATGCTCTTCATGATAACAAGTTCATGTACAAAGGGTGTTATTCTCATGGTAAGGTTAGAATTGAAACTGTGCCTGTAAAACTTTTCTTGTGATTAGAACTTAAAAAAAGCTACCTGTGTTGTTTGGCACCTGTGCTATGAACAGAGCTTAGGAGTCCTAATCTATTTTTTTGTGTCTCGGATGTCTACAAAAACCAATTCTGACATACACAAACTCAGGCTTAGATAATTGTGTGACTCCAGTTGACTTGTCTACAATATGTCCCTGGGTGAATTCTGTGTGGGCATAGTTTTGGTTGAAGAAATGTGCTTTGTCCCCATTAAATTAAACACAGTTATAGTATCTGATGCCCATGGAATGCTGCTCCTTGGCCTGTACTGTTCCCTGGAAGGAGTGAAGGAACAGTTGCTATGTTCAGACCCTAATTTACAAGGTTGTTGTGGTTCCTTAGAATATGGAGAAATAGAAATGACATCTGCTGGGCTGAGGGGAGAGGGACAGATAGATGATTGCACAAAATCAGAGATGGGGAATAGTTAGCCTGCAGTAAGGAGCTGCAGGTTGTATATAGGAATGAAGATCATCTGGGTTAAAGAAAGATCTCCTGAGGTAAAGGAGGTTACCTTAGGGCAAGGGGAGGAGTTTGACTCATAGCTTTGGTGTTTGGATTAACCTGATGTTTAACTAATTGGTTATACAACTTTATGTTACTTTAATCCTTGTTACACTGAGGCATAACCAAGCCTAGAATGAGTAGAACTTGTTTTTTTTGTTGGCCGTTTTAGATTTTCTTGTAAACTAGGGTGTTGGGTACTGCATGTTCTGTGTGGCAGTTGTAATAAGCCACATATTCAGAAGAAGTCAGTTTCATGGAGAATGTGGTGAAATTTATGGTAAGCTTTGCATAATGTTGAAAAACTGCATGAAGTCTTGATATATGTTCAAATTGTTCTTTGTAGAAATTCTGCTTTCTACTGAGAGCATTTTACAGTGGTAAGGTCATGGTCTTGAGTCAGGATGCAGGTTGCTCATCACCCAAACTCAAGCTGACAGTGACTCTTGTTGAGAAAGCTGGATCCATTCTTACTGCCACCTTTGTGTTGATCTGCTTGCCCTGTGGCTCTGGGGCTCCTAGCTTGTTAGCCAAAACTTGAGCTCATGCAGAGAGAGCCTAAGGGAAGTGCCAGGAGGAAAAGCCAGTGGCATTGAAAAGGGAAGTAAAAAGCAGCTGCTTTTGGCAAGCCAGGACTTTTGCTAAAGTTGATCATACAGCTTAAATAACATCCTATTTTTAAAAAAATCACAATATCTAAGTGCTTTAAAAAGCCAATCCACACATCTTGTCCTGACTCAGTGTCTGCTGTGAACCCCCAAGTCAGCCTGCATAGGTAGGGTCTAATTTACTTGTCATATGCTGCACCCCTGCTGTTGGCCTTAGTCATAGGAGTATAGCAAGGAGCTTCAGCAGCAGTACTGACTTTCAGAGTTTGCAGCTGTCCTTTCTCTCCCTCTTTCATTTGTGCCAGAAAAGCTATTTGTACAGCCATTCTAGAACTGGATTTCAGATCCATTTAAACTGATCAAATTCAAATTGCTTGTTTTTAAAAACATATGGTCAGCAGCTTTTCTTTTCTGTGTTTACAACTTGTGCCTGCAAACGTTTGTCGAGACAATTGAAAGAACGCAAAGTGCTGCAGTACCAGGAAGGAAGGGGGATGCTCAAATGCCATTGCCATGGAAGCTGAATAGTATTGGACGTGACATGGCTTGTTGCAGCAGTATATTCTGGTCAGCTCTTCAAAGATAACAGCCCTGCAGTTTAAGAAATGCTTCCTTAAGCAAAGGAGAATAAGCGATGCAAACCTGTATTTGCAGTGCTGAAAGAAAGCATTAATGAATCCTTATGTGCCTAGTTGGGCAGTTTGCCAAACACACAGACACTGTCAGATTATCTGATGGAGAACTCAATGATTTTTAATAATTTTGGCTCTAACTTCACAACACAAAGTGTTCAGCCGTAACATGTGCTTAAAGCATTTGTGTTTTTGTGGTGGCAAATGGAGCCTCTGATGGATTCTTAGAACCATCTTTACTGCTGAAGGCTGGGCTCCCGATTGTTCCTGGCTCGCTGCATAGCAACTGATTGGCACATGAGGAGGAGAGCCCCAGAGCGATTATCACCTCTGAGCTGGCAGATCAGAGCAGCAGCTAAGAGGCTGGAAGCGCCTCTATTATCCCGTTATAGTACACAAAGCTTCAGCTGATCTTTGTAGTGCTTGTGGGAGAGAGGCAGGCAGGCCACTGCTGGCATTGCCTTCTGCTCTGGTCTGTTCAGGTGATGTTTTAGTGCTGAATCTATGCATATGCTTGGATGTTTTGCTGAATAACATTTTCAGGACAATTTGCCGTTTCATATTCTGGTTGAGAATTCTGTTGGCCGATTTGCATCGATCTTGAAGATTTTTTTGTTTTCTCTGTGTAGAAAGCTGTAGACAAGATCTTGACTAAGAGTTGATATTGATGAAGCATTCTTATTTTTGTTTGCTTGTTTGTTTTTTTTTTAGTTTTTTGTTCTTTTCTTGTAAGAGCATTATAGTTAGTACTTGTCTTTGAAGATGTTCGTAAGTATTTCTAGGTTCTCTGAGATAACACTTGGCTCTTCTTTGAAAGTAAAAATGTAATAAAAATGCCCTAGTGGGAAATACCAAGGCCAGACTAGATGGATCCTGAGCAACCTGGCCTATTGGAAGGTATCTCTGCCTGTGGCTCAAGGATTGGAACTAAATGATCTAAAATATCCCTTCCAACCCAAACTCATCTTTCTAGTAGAAGCCTCTGAACAGTTTGCTAACCAAAGGTTGGGAAACAGGTACTCTCCTCTTTTGAAATCCTTGAAAAGGCAAGTGAACAGCAGCAATTTCCTAAAGGAGCTGTTCATTAGAAATATTGCCTAATAATGATTCAGAAATAGTGTAAAAGTAATTGCTTTTGAAGCATTGCTAAGGAAGTGCTTGTTAAATGTGAATTTCTTCTCAATGCAAAAACTTCATTTTTCTAAACATAAACCCTCATCTTCTACTTTAGATTTCTGCATTTCCACTGCTTCTCTAGAATTCTTCCCAAACTCCCATGCACTCCATGGACCCTTATCTTTTGTATGTTGTTTGAGCTAGGGTTTTGTTAGATGCTGAGTGAAGAAAAAAGCCAAGTCTTTATCAAATGGTGGGGCTTGTAATTTTTGTGTGCAGTTTAACATGGCTTGCCTTCACAGGCTTTGTGCTGGGTTTGATGAGAGGAAAGTTAAAATAATAACCTCAGCAAACTTTCCCTGAAAAAGAAGTCGTGTGAAGTATTGATGAAGTCTGTGTCACTGCCAGGAGATGTCATCAGTAAAATGGCAACCCTGCAACACCTTGAACCTGAGACAGTCTGGTATAGACATAAAGAATTTCTTTTCTCTTTCTTGCCTGAGGAAATAGCACAGTTTTCTTGTCCACTACAGACATAAAATACCTTAAATTGCAGCAAGTAAATAATTCAAGGTAGATGTTAGGCAAATTTTCCAGTGGAGATGATAATGTAGCATTTAAGTAGATTGCCTGAGGCACAATAAAAAGGCATCACTGTATGCCTTTAATAGATGAAATATCTCTCAGGAAAGTTACAGGTATACTGTTTGAGGAACTGAATTAAATGAAGTCCCTTCTAATTTTATTTTGGCTATGATTTTTAATTAGTTTGGGTCATGACAGAGTTGGCTGAGAAAATGTCAGTTGGGTTGGACTAGCTAAATAGTTCTGTTTACTCAGATCAACTCTACCATTTTTCTAATTTAAAAAATCTCCAATGACTCAGGATGACAATTTCTGAGAGTATTATTAGCTTTTTAAAATGAGTTGTAAACACAGATGTCATTCTGAAAAAGATAGATGCTAGTAACT